TTGCATTATTAAGAAATTATTTACTTCGTTCACAATCACCAACGGATAGACGTGAACAACATCAAAAACCACCTTAGTATGAAATTTTAATATTTATTTATTTATTTATTTATTTATTTATTTGAATTTCTTTTTTTTTTTTTTTTGTTTTATTAGTTCTTATATAGCATTAATTGCAATGGCTATTAAACACGCACCACAAAATAAAATAACACTTAACGGTATTTATCAATTTATAATGGAACGTTTTCCATATTATCATGAAAATAAACAAGGATGGCAAAATTCAATTCGTCATAATTTATCATTAAATGATTGTTTTATTAAAGTACCACGAGAAAAAGGTAAAATTTCTTTTGTTTATTTTTCAATTTTTCTTCTTATTTAATAAAACAAATAAGTTCTTTTTTCTTTTTTCTTTTTTCTGTAGGTAAGCCAGGTAAAGGTAGTTATTGGACATTAGATTCAAAATGTGATGAAATGTTTGAAAATGGAAATTATCGTCGACGTAAACGACGACCAAAACAACTTATGTCAACAGTTCAAAAACCTTCATCAACATCATCATCTATACCATTAGATGATTCATCATTATCATCATCAGAATCAAATCATAATTCATTATTAATATCATCAAATAATGATGATGATGATATAAATCAAACAACAAATTATGATCGATATACGTTTCTTAAAATAGAATCATCAAATAATAAAAAACGACATCGTTCACCAACACCTGAAGTGAATAATAATAATAATAATAATCATAATAAAAAAGTAAAAACAGTTTCAGCATTTTCATCTATTGATACATTAATTGCACCAACGAAAGAAACAAAATCTGTTGATTTATCGTTATCTCCTTGTCGATATAATAATCATAATAATAATCCATATTTATCATCAATTCCTCAACAATATTTATCCTTATTATCAAATGGTTTTGGCCTTAATACAGCATACAATCGACATTCTTCAGCAAAATAGAAATCAAAAGAAACAGAACAAAAAATAAATATTCGAACTTGTGTTTTTTTTGTTTTGTTTTCTCATTCCACAAAAAAAAAAAAAAAGTCTTGTGTCGATTCAGTGTTTTTCTTTTCATTTCTTCTTCTTTTTTTTTTTTTTAAATAACAACGATGTGTATCTGTCTATATGGAAATAATCAATTTTGCTTTTCATATATAAAATAATAAGTGTCACCTATTTGAAGACATAATAATGATGATTATTGTTTATAATCGAATATAAACAAACAATAAGTTAGGAAAAATACAAATCACTTGTTTTACCATGATAAGCTTCATGGTGTGCGTGTCGATGTGCAATTCGATAATTTCTTTTTCAACAGCATTATGTGATTTGTATCTTGTTTTGTCTATTCTCATATACATTAGTAGAGCATCATATAAACATACATTATGTCCTCGGGCTTGTTTTCTTATTGCTCTATCACGATAATTCTCATCAGATATGGAATGTTGTATATAACAGTATGATGCAATTGACTAGATTTTGATGTTTTTCTAAAGATCATTTTCTTTTAAACCAATCAAATTTATATCCGATAAATAGATGTAAAACACAAGCAGAAAAGAAAAGAATTTTTTTTGACGATCATCATTATGAATGATTAATGATGAGACATGCGCGTGCCATATTAATATATATAGTAATTCTTTTTTCCAGAGGGCTTTTTATATATTAGTGTTATTCTACAATGAATTCTTGAGGAAACAAAATATAAATATGTGTTTGTGGACATCAAACACATCACTTGGCTACAACTACTGTAATACTACATTGTCTAAACTTATATGTGTGTATATGTATGTGTATATATATGTGTGCGGTACATCTTCTAGCAACTGCCTGAAGCAAGACAAACAATCGGAATAGTTTGTTTGTCTAAAGTATTCATTTCGTGTCTATATTAAGATATGTGACGATGGTTTGTAGTTGAAAAAAAAATTAACTTTCTCTATGCGACTTCCGTTGTTCGTTTATGTTTTTTTAACTAGTTGAAATGATATTATAAAAGTCAATTTCAATTTGACATATGTATGTAATAAAGAAACCTCACAAATGAGACGAAGAGAAGAAAGAGAAAAAAAAATCCGACCATTCACTGTTTTTTTGCTTTATTATGCTTTTAGTAATAAGATATTTGGAATTAAAGAATAATAATAATTTAACATTAACTATTTCTCATATATATATATATATATATATAAACGATATGTTATTATTCATGAATAGCAAATATATACATTTGTATATGTTTGTAGAACAATAGAAAAAAGAGACACATAGACATTCAAAACTCATTTTCTAATTACATATACACAATATATAAAATGCTGAAGATCACAGTCTCCGTCGTTGTTCTTTCTAAGATAAACATACATATATACATACATAGTGCCGTGTAAATCTCGTACATAAATAAACGACCATTAAAGGACAACAACGAAAAGAGCGCATAAAAGGAATAAAAGTATTTATACCGCCATATGCACTGCGCATCTCTCTCTCTCTCTCTCTATTTATGACACCTTTAAGAAATGTATATTTTTTCATTGAATATAAATACACCTGTAAAAACTTTGACTACAAAAAAAAAATAAAATTCATTTTGTTATTTGACATTGATTTGTTTGCTAATAAAAATAATTGCAATATGCTGAAAATTAAATATCTAGCGTTCTTCATATATATATATATATATAGGAAAATAAACGCCATCATCTATTTGTGTATATACATATATATATGTTCCAATCAAAGTGCAGAAATAATGTTGACACGAGAAAGAGAAGAGCACATTGAATGAGGATGACAGGAAAGTGATCAAACAGTATGCGGCCCGCTTTTGATATCTTTTTTTTTTTGTCTATGTGGTGTTTCTATTTGGTTGTTGTTTTAACTAAAATGTGCACTTGTGGTACTCATCATCATTCAATACAGATGATGATAAATATACTTATTTTACACATAGTCGTCAAAGGAAAAGATGTATATAAAAATAATAAACTACATATGATGAGATTATTTTTATTTGGAAAACAAAAAAAATCAATCACAGTTCTCTCTCTCTCTCTCTCTCTTTCTCTCTTGTGTTTCTTGGAAAGTTAAAAAGAAATATATTTGTATCAATATATTGTTTCTTTATACCATAAAAATGATCGATAATGATATGTTGATAGAAAAATAGTTTTGTAATTAAATGATCTTACATTATATTGTTGTTTTTTTCGAGAAGAAATAGTTCATGTTGTGTTTTTTTTTCTTTTTACTCTTTATTATGAAGGAAATTATACAGATGTTTGCCACAAGTCAGTTAAAATTATTCTTTCTCACTATCGTTATAAATAGCAAGCGGAACTAAATGTATGACTGTAAGGTGATACATGCTGTAAATTTATTGAGTTATGATAAAAATTAACTTCATCATTTTTCTTTTGCTTTACAATGAGCCTTAGTTGAAGAAAAACTTCCTATGTTTGTCTTGATCGATTTCAATAGATTTTATTGTATTTTAATATTGTAAAGGAAAAAAAAAAACAAATGTCTGATCTAAAATAATGGAAATGGAAAATATGTATAATTGAATTATAGCCGTGGTTGTTTTCAATTGTAACATAAGGAAATATTGTTTTTTCATTATTAAGTTTGATATAAGTTTCTTTAGATTTGTATGGAAAATGTAAACTTTTGCAAATATTTTCACAAGTTGAAACACAATTTTTTGTTTTGTTTAACTCATTCCATGTTAAATCTTTGTCTAATGAGAGGATATCTTCAGTTGTTAAGTACTGTTTGATTTCAATATTTAACTTATTCGTATGAGAAACATTTTCTTTTCTGACCTACCATCAAGTACTTTGATAATTTAATGTGCTATAAATATGGAGCGAAGTTTTCTACTAACGAGCAAGTGAAGAACGATCTAATGAATTCTACAATAGAGATCAATACTACAAGAAAATTAAAAAAAATGACCCAAGCTAAAACTTGTGAGTTTGAGTTTTTGTGGTTGTCTTAGTATTCGACTGAGCGGTTGTATCTAACTTTTGCTACTGGTATATTGTAATAGAATCTTTCCGTATCAAGTTTATACGTGTGAACAAATTTTGCAATCATCTACATAGCTCTACAATTGAGAGAAACGTTCTCATCTAGACAACAACGATACAAACAATTTGGTACTTGCTTACTTATTTTCCCATTAGAAATGTCAACTTATCGTAAGGCTATATCGGTTTGTCTAGAAAAAAAAGCAACTTGTTATGTTGCAAATTTTTGTAGAAAATACAGCTATTTTAATTCAGATAACAGATAGATTAACAATATTTCAACTTGAGAATCCTCAAAACGATATTATTTTATATGATGTTCATTTTTGAAAAACCAAAAAATGATTATCTTTTATATAAGTGTATATGCTTTATAATCGAAGCAGATTCAAAAGAACTTTAGAATAGTTTTTGTTAGTTTGGAAATTAGTTTTCTAGAAAACCAGTATATGAAGACTTAAGGAAGATTTTTTACACTCATATTCGAGATCAGTAACGTTGATAATCTACAATCTAGTGGTTTTTATTGAGAAAGCAATTAATCAATTGAAACTCTTCCTTCGTTAGAAGATAAAAAGAATAAATCATTTGATACAGTAAAAAAAAAAGTGTTGAATTCTATTCAAGAGATGTTATGAAAGTAAATCTTTTAAAAATCTTTGATTCTCTTATAAAGAGATCAGTTCATATTTACAAGATGAAATTAAAACGATGTCTAACGTTTGAAAAATATTCTCATGTAAATAAACATACAGAACGATTTTCGAATTCAATCGATCAAATTATTAAAAAAATGACTTATTATATGTATGTAAATTTCTCAATGAAAAATGTTTTTAACCTAAAAATTGCAAACAAAATCAAGTTAAACAACATAAAATTTAAAAAAGAAAATACTTAAAATGTATCTATTTCTTCTTCTTATCTAATATTAATATATTTTAATTGTTTTTTATATGGTTCAATAATAATTAATTGTTGACAAGCATTTTCACTATTATTTTTAAGTATTTGAAACCAATTATGGTAATTATGATATAAATCAAAATTTTTATTTCGTTTTCCATATATATGTATATTATGTGCATAAGCAAATTGTATTCTTTGTGAACGATTTGTATTTGATGCTAATGCTAATATAACAGCATGAATATTTCCATCACCTAATGAATTAATTAAAATACTATCATTTAATAGAAGATTATTTAAAAATTGTTCAATTGTTTTTTGATACCAAAATTGAATACGAGTAAGAAAAAAATTATTATAAATCGAATCATATGATTGAAATGGAAAACAATATGATTTACAATTATTATGATATGTACGTAAATATTGTGGAAGCAAATAATCAGGTCCTGACATTGGAATATCCCATGCAAGTGCACGATAAATATAATCAAGTTTATTTTTATATGCATAATCAAAAAGATCATAATCAAATGGTTCTAAAAAATAACTATCATCATCTAATCGCATTATATAATCATAATTATTTTTGATTAATGGATGATGAAATACAGTATGTGACCAAAATTGACACATAAAACGATAACCTATTGGACGTTGATGAATTGTTGAAATTTCACGATTAATTATGTTCATCGTTTGAATAGGATTTTTCATTAATTTAAATAAAACAATATTTTCAAATATTAATCTTAATTTAACACATGATTTTATATAATCTATGGTCGAATTTTGTATCTCAGTATCATGTGAATCATAGAAAATTATAACTGGATATTTATAGATTGATTGAGGAAAAAAATATTCTATTGAATGTAGCATATTAAGTAAACGTGCGATATCTCCACGTGTCAAAGTAACAATAGCTGCTCGAAATGACTGATTTTGATAATTATTTTCTAAACTTTTAGTAGATAGTAATGATAATAAAAAATAATAAATAGACCCAATAAAACATATAAATAAAAAATATTTCCACGTTTTTTGTTTCATTTTATAATATTGAAAGAGAGAGACACACGACAAAAAAAATGGAATTATATGTCTTTTTTTGTTTCTTTCTGTAAGTTGTTTAACAAACAACACAATTATTAGTTGATTCAATTGTTCGAACTAAAATATTCGAATAGTCATTTTGTTTATGACTATCAACAATAAAATAAATATGACGATTATTTAAATAATTTTCTTGTTGATTAACAATAATATTTATTTCAATTTGATCGGAATGTATAATCAAACGATTACTATGTGTTATCATTACATTATGTTGTAATGGAATAATAAAAATATGATGATGTATAAGACATATTTCACCAATAAGTATATTATGTAATTTAACAGTACCATATTCTGATGTATAATCTAAATGATGAATATATTTTGTCCACATATGTCCATCTAATAAATATTTCATTGCTGGAGCATAATAGGACATATTAGAAGTTTTTATTGAACTATTTTCATTTGGTAGAATAACTAATATAAATGATATGTAAAACAAAAAAGATACAAGAGAAGATTCTATCGAAAAAAAAACTACATACGAAATTTTGCTCCTTTATGATGCATTTGTTTAGCAAAAAGACTAAAATGATGATAAGATTGAATTATTGATTGTGTAAAAAAAGCTTCAATTTGTTCATTCTCATGTATTTCAGGTTTAATTGTTGATGAATTCAAACCATGTTTTAATAATGTATGTAATATTTTTCCATTATATGAATGTTTCCATATATTTGAATCTTCTCCACCAAGATCACAAAGTATAGCTGTTAAAAATTGTATTGATCCTAATTCATAAATACGTCCTTTTAATGGATTATCACTTTCAGTTAATAAATTTCGAATAAATAGTTGATAATATTCAATATTTGATTTTAAATTTAAATTCATTGCAAATGTAGCATGCTTAAGAAAAAAAAAAAGGATTTTTCTTTTGTCAAAAAATTAGTTTATTATCTTACTAACGAAACACTCATCATAAGATAACGAAGAAGACCATCATTATAATCACAATACCAATTATTATCATACCATTCTTTTGTATAATCAGTTTTTAAACTTATTAAACGAGCAAGAGCATCATTTAAATGTATTTGATTATCATTCAAGTTAAGACTAATGAATAGATTTTAAAAAAAAACATGTGCAACAGATTTAATTACTAGCTTTCAATAGACAAAATGGAACATTTTTCTTTTGTAAACATTATATACAGTTTAACGTTCTGCATCATTTTAAAATGATAACAGATAAAAAATATGTATGATTTTATTGATCATGGATGTCAATCATTCAGAATATAAGATCAGTAAACTGGTAAAAACATCGAAAATTTCTACTATCATATATTATTAATAAGAAGTTTTCGTATAGATGTGAGAACTACTTCATCAATAGTTCGCCGTTAGAATTCATATGGAACACACAAGGAAGTTTTGGCGAGAATAGAAAAATTCTAAAAGAGCTCCCATTTATGAGCGTTTCAAGTTGAGTTATAATCATTTTAGTGAATTTTTCGTCCATTTTTAAGCATTTACTAGAAAGTCAAGTAACAGAATTTCGGCTTGTAACTTTGCCTATGGATAGATTTAATGACTCTTTTGAAAATTTTGAAAGTTTCGACCGAAAAGAATGTTCAGCTTTCAGGATGTTGAATTTCCAATAAAAAATCGCTTGCCACAGACAGATCGCAAAAATCGAGTTTGCTTCGAAATTCAATGTTTCGACAAAGAAACATTCTCTTGCTGCTGAAATTTTCGGAATATTCTAAGAATCATTAGCTCTATATCTGGTTCAATTTGCAGATCATATTTCCATTATTGAGTTTGCTAATAAATACTTAAAAATGTACCGAAAATTCAGTAAAATGATCGCAACTGGGAGTCGGAATAGAGCCCATCAGGTTGGTTTCAGATCTGAATGCGACCAAGTCCTGGTTCGACTCGAAAAATTTGGGACACAACGGGCTCTAGTCTAGTGACCGGTGGACATCAATCCTTTTAGGAATGTTCAAGTCTTACCAAATCTTCTTTGTAGGCTTGATATGAGCTCTAAAGATAAGTTACAGTTCGGGTAGTTCCTTCCGTAAGATGTATTAAATAAAAAGTGTTTTATTTTGTACTTGAAAAAATAATTTCCTTTTTGTATTACTATGTTTTTCTTATGCTAATATTGAAAGAAAAATTTACACCACAGTGCTTGATCTAAAACTAATATTTCTCTAATCCTATCTAACTTGAAAAATCAATCTCTGAAATTACATAGCACAACATAAAGAATTGGATAATTCAGCATGAAGTCGTTGAACTTCTGTTGGTGCCAAATAACTAACATATCTATCAGTTTGATTCTTGCCACGAATAAATGATGAAAACTTATGACGAAAATCATGTTTTTCCATATGTACATGATATTCGTTACATTTAACTGCTAGCCATTCACGAATGAGTATTGCAGTAACATAACTCTAAAAGATCTCATCAATTAATTTTGTTAATATCTTTGCTTTTTTTTGTGTCTACATACAAATTGTCCGAGACAAATATTATCTTTAAAAAATTCAAAATCATCTTCATAATGTCGTTCTTTTAATTGATATTTAGGTATCCAATCTTGATGCCAAAGAAATTTTCTTTGTAAAAAATTATCATTTGAATGGTATTGAATAAAAATACATGAATGAAAATCATTTTTTATTATTTCAGATAAATTTAAATCTGTTTGTAAATCAATTGTTTTAGGATATTTATAGATTTCTCCAACATCTTTATTAACATAATAAAATTCTTTATCTGTTTGTTCCAAATCAAAAAATAGACAATAATCATTTAAATGAA